TTTATTTAACTAATTGATGTAAACTTTTCAGAGTAAGATTTTATACCTCAGGTCCTTGTGTTTACAGTAACAGTGCCTGTATTTGGTTCCAGCAACATGCATCTGTTCTGTAAGTGACCGCATTGCATTTTGTCTGATTTGTCTCTATTGATTCTGTAATATTAATGTAATTTATAAGTGATATTGTATTGATTTTGATGAATTAACTAATTAAATATATACATTTCAATAGCAAAAACAATCTGTTTTCATGTCTTTCTGACCTATATTTATGCATACTTTTAAACGAGTGTCTAACATTCAGTTCCCATGCACAGACTACTCTAAAAAAAATTTTTATGAATGTGTGATGTACAGTAGTTGTATTAATGGATGGTTGATTCCTGTCTGATGGCTCCATCTGTTGGTGAAGCATGTAAATTCTTTATAATGAGGTCAGTTACATCTTTGACCATTAGAAGAAGGTGCCATTAAAATGGAAATCTTATAATACAAGCACGTTCACGCACATAGACACTCAATTTAAATTGTAATAATATTTCACAATATTAGTGTGAATAGTTATTAGTTTGTACTTTCATTTTTGATAAAAAAATAAATACAGCTTTGGTGAGCATACCAGACTACTACTTCTTTTCTCCGTTTAAGTTTGGAAGTCTTTGTGGTGCTTACACAGTAATCTATTATATTAATTAAAAAATAAGAAGAAAATAACAACGGCTCTTAAGCCCCTTTTCAAAAATACAATAAAAACATTACTATTGTGAACTTCACAAGTTACGTAAAAAGCCACATTGGTCTAATCTGAATATGAAAAGTAAGATCGATTACTACTTTTACTGCTAAAAGTTCTAAAACTATAGTTGGTCAAATTGGTTCTTGGTCTTAACACTTGTCAATGTTTATGCAACTGGCATCTGTGCTGAATTTTCAGTCTAATCTAATTAGTTCTGTTAAACGATTAATCGTGATTAATCACATCCAAAATAAACGTTTTTGTTTACATATGTGTGAGTAGCCTACTGTGTATATATATATATATATATATATATATACACGAGTAAATACATGTAAATATTTTGTATTTATACATAATAAATATACATAGTACACACACATATATGAAGTAAACAAAAACTTGTATTTTGGATGCGATTAATCACGATTAATCGTTTAACAGCGCACTAAATCTAATCTATGCTAATTTGGTGTTCAAGAAATATTTCTTGTTATTAGGCTATATCAATGTTAAAAAGAACGTTGTACTGCTTAATATTTTGTGGAAACTGAAGATACAGTTTTTATAAAGAATTCTCTGATCAATTGAAAGTTCAAACGAACAGCATTTATTAGACATTTTTGTAACGTTATAAATGTCTTTACTGCCACATCATCTTAGATAGTATTGGACAGATACAACCATAGACTACCCCCCGGTTTCACAGGCAAGGCTTAAACCTAGTCCCAGACTAAAATGTAAGTCTGAGCTGTTTCAACTGAAAGAAACTTGCACTGACTGATCTTAAAATATATCAGTGCCTTTGTTTTGGCTCAAGATGCAGACCAGTAATGTGTTTTCTAAGGCACGTTTATGAAAAATTAATTAAAATGTCCTAATTGAACTATGGTTAGTCTAAACCCTGTCTGTGAAACCAGGCCCTTATGTCTGGATACAACAAGCTACCACAAGTTTTGATCAGGCATTTAAAACAGCTACCGCCTGGGTCCTAAAGGAGACCCGATCGCGGGTGGAGACTCGATTTCTCGCGACGGCTGCAGCAGCTTCATTCTCAGGTCGGGAAACTGACAACAAGCGAACAGAGAAAAACAGAGACAAATCTGCATCCATCCTTCCGAGTTTCTCTATCCGGTGGAAATATATCGATATATGTGAGCTGAAGCGACAGTCGTACGTTCAATCGGTGAGTTATTAGCGCGCTCTGTGCGGTTATTCGCCGGTTTGTCGCAGGATGTCTCAGTGTTTGTGTCGCTTTGTTCTGAGCAGCAGCCATTTTTAATCGGCTCACACATCAACAAGTCACCAGAAACCCCTCATTAACGCATTGATAACTCATTTTACCAGCCGATGTTAATTAAACACCCGCGCTGCCGCGCTTTCTGTCCCGGTTTGAAGCTCGTTTGTCGGATCTGGTGGAGTTTATACAACAGAAGCGGCTCGAGGCTAATGTCAATAGCATTGCTAAAGACCTCATGAAGTCTCAGTGAAAATAGCTCACGTTATATTAAATGTCGTTATTTATCAGCTCTCACGCTCGTGTTTACAACATCTAGTGTGTGATCGTGTTGATTTCGTGTGTGTGAAATGAGCGGTTTGTTTAATAATCAGGCTGAAGAGCCTCTGTTTACATCTCATGCTAACTGTACATTGACAGTTATCGTTGACAGATGTGTTAGCTTCGTTTAGCCTGGCATCAAAATGTTTCGTATTACATCACATTGATTTCATAATGATCGCTTGTAAGAGCTCACTGTCAGTATTTCTCGGGAAGGCTCATGAGAGCAGATTTGATATCTCTGTCATGATGAATCTGAGTTTGGCACTGATGATGATGATGATGGTGGTGGTGGTCTTTTAAAAATGTGTGAGCAGTGCATCAGCCATTTTTGCAATTATACAAGCAAGAACTGAGTAATATTAACAACATGCACGTACTGTAGGGTTAGGGGTTGGTTCAGGTTTAGTTGCTTGTAATTATGCATCAGTTTTTGTTATCGGTATATTAAAGATGTGTAACCTGAAACAGACACTGTAAAGTGTTACCTTTTTATTAAAGGAGTAGTTGGCCCAAAAATGCATATCTGCAAAAAATGTCCTCACCCTCAGGCCGTCCCAGATGAAGTTTGTTTTTTCGTAGGAAGAGATTTGGAGACATTTAGCACTTGCTCGCCAATGGATCCTCTGCAGTGAATGGGTGCCGTCAGAGTGAGAGTCCAAACAGCTGAAAAAAAACATCTCTGTAATACACAAGTAATCCACACCAGTCCAGTCCATCAGTTAATCAACATTGTGAAGCCAAAAGCTGTGTGTTTGTAAGAAACAAATCCATCATGAAGGCGTTTTTAACTTCAAACCGTTGCTTCCGGCTAAAATATGAGTCTCCAGTCAAAAAGTGGTCTGAATCAGGAGAAAAATCTGCACCGATCAAACAGGCCAAAACAGCTCTAAACAAATATGTGGGTGGATTTTGATATGAGAGACAACAGGGGATGGACTTTTTCATTGGAGGAAGCATTATTATGGATCATGTTATGGATATGGATCATTTTAGCCAGAAGCAGTGGTTTGAAGTTAAAAACGCCTTGATGGATTTGTTTCTTATAAACATGCAGCGTTTGGCTTCTCAAGACGTTAATTGATGGACTGGAGTGGTGTGGATTATTGTGATGTTTTTATCAACTCATCAGACTCATTCTGACGGTTTTTTGTAAGCATATATACATTTTTGGGTTAACTAGGGATGCACCGATATGAAAATTTTGGCCGATACCGATAACCGATTATTCTTTATTTTTGAAAGCCGATAACCGATATGTTGGCCGATAAATCTATATCCAAATTGTTATATACTTTTTGAGAGCCTGATTACAAAAAAGGTCTCATCATTAAAAGCCACATCCCAAACACTTCAACATAAGCAGCCTAGTTTGAACGGTGTACATTTTAAAAATATTTTTACTCTCCCATTACCAAATTTAGTCATAAAAAAGTCTTACAAATAAATAAAATAATGCATAAATAATGCAAACAAGTCACTGGACATCATTACACGTGTAAAGAATCAAAATGAATGCGCCATAGATCAATAAAACGGAATAGCCTCTGCACGGACAATAATTAAATGATTTTAATTACTAAACCATATTGTTGAAGTCTGAGATTTATTTAACAGTGATTTCACATTTCTTGTTTGTATGAAGGCTAAATACCAATAAAAGGTGAACGTATTTATTTGCGCCATTTTTCCCCCTAAAATATTATATTTTACATTAATAATTATATAAATATTATACAAATTAATTTTTCATAAGTTTGTAGGTACAGACATCTGTTGTGGCTGTTCTTGGCCGTTTTTATGAAGCTTTTTAATAGTGTTCATATCGATATCGGAATCCTATCGTATCGACTGAAATTAAGAAATACATCGTGATATAAATTTTGGCCATATCGTCCAGCTCTAGTGTGTCTCAATGTTTGCTCTGCTTCACACACTGAAGCATGCATGACGCACATCTGTTTCTCACTGAATGTGAACACGTGAAATTCATCTGAGAATCACTTCACCAGCATTTCACCATTTCATTTAAGAAAACTGTCAGCAGATACACATACTCAGAGATCTTACAACCCACTGAAATAAAAGTTCAGAAATATACTACTATTGCACAGTAGAATGTACTTCTCAGAGTAATAATATTGATACATCTCATTTAAAAATTATTTATATTTAGGAATATCACAATTTTGTATCCATGATTAATTTAAACCGTAAACATTTTGTGCAGCACTGCTTGCCAAAAATGGAAGGAATTGTAAATTTCATTTGATTTAAAATGTAAAAAAATGTAAGTTTTATGCATTCATTTGATTACCCCTGGTTTTGATGATAATGTATTAAATCATAAAACTGAAACGTTTCTGTGACGACAACACAATTTCGGAAAATGTAAAAAATTTCTTAGGGCACTGTTTTTGTTTAAATTAATACATAATCAAATTGTTAAAGTTTGAAGTTTGTTTGATTTAGTTTTTTTATTTATTTAATTAAACCGTTAAAAATTAAAACTAAAAGCATGTCTTGATTTCATAGAGCTGTGCTTTAAATCTCAGATCGCTTTTGCATGTTCAGATTTGTCACACCGTGTGTAGTAACACCAGAGCAGCAGCTGATCTCCTATATGTGTGTTAACCATAATGTGCCAGTTTTTGTGACATGTGATGTTTTAACCGATTTCACACTTCTCTCTCTCTGTCACCTGCAGTTGTTGCACGACATGGCTTACAGAGTCTTGGCAAAGTGGCCGCTGCCCGGCGCATGCCCCCTCCCGCTCACCTGCCGAGTCTGAAGTCTGAGAGTAAAGGAAACGATCCCAACGTGATTATCGTGCCCAAAGACGGTACAGGATGGGCAAACAAGCAGGATCAACCCGATCCAAAGAGGTCAGAGAAAACGCTGCTGCGGCATCAGCACTGCTGTCCATCACGCTCACTAAAACATCATTGTGTGTGAAGTGAATTGAAGGACAGATCGTGAGCCATAGAGTGTTTTTTGTGTCTGTGTGTGTCATTGTACAGCAGGTGCATCTGTAAGTCGCACTGATTATGTCATGCAGAGCAGCGAACGGCTGATTCATTCAGGAATGAAGCAAGTGACAGTATTTATGAATGGGTAATCATGAATCACTGACTCACTAGATTCGTTTAAAAACGCAGTTCATTCATAAATGAGACACCGCTATGTTTGAATGGAAATGCGCAGCGGCTGAGCTGTGACTTTTTCAAACTATTTTCGATGATGAAATAGAGCAAAATCAGACAATAGTTTTATAGTCAGACAATGTATGTCACTTAATATTAACTTTTTGTCTATTGAACTATTGTATTAAATCAGTATCACATTTACAAACTGCCTTAAAAATCATTAAAAGCTGTCACTCATCTTAGCTCATCGCGATCTCACATTTATAATCAACGAAGCTCTCTGCACTGCACAATGAATCTTTTATTTACGCCGTCTACACTTTGCTTATGAAAGGATTCATGAGATATGTCTGTGATGCATTACTCAACGCTGCAAAAACACGTAGAAACCTTTGAAGCTCCCCTCAGCCATCACAATCACAAATACGATGAAGATCTGGTCAGTCGCACTAGTGCTCATAAATATTTTTTCATAGTCGCACGCAGTAGTTTTCAGTCGCAGTGTAGAGCCCTGTTACAGTCACTCTGTGTTGCTGTGAGTTTGTCTCATCCAGAATATAGCAACTCAATTAAAATGTGTTGTAAACGCTGTAGTCCCGCTAAAATTGTACCAGCAGTAATTTTTAAATGTTCAATTACACATCATGCTGCATACATGCAAAAACTTGATGCAGGGCTCAATAGTCTGAGTTCAATAGTCTGTTTCACTCACATTTGTGGATAAAAATAAAGGTTAGCGAATAAAGAAAAGTCCTAATGGGTCAAAATTCAGTTTGTAATATAATGTAAATTATGGCTATAAAGTCTTAAAAATCTCAAGTGGTATACAGGGCTTAAAGTTCTCCGGCACCATGCCGGATCTCTGGCGTGCAGCGTTTGGCTGCAGAAAAAAATAGTCGTCTTGTTGATTGATGTCACTTTCGAGTCCATGAGTTTGCCTACCAATGGTATGAGAGGAGCACAGCTTTCACTCTCAACCAAACTAACATTACTAGCCAATCAGAATGTTTTGCTCTTATAAACACGAGACGCGCATAATAGTATCCAATTGCGGAGTCGCAGCCCTGATGAATGGAGAAGGGTGACAAAAAGCTGCGAGGCACAGTGGGCAAAGATGTCCATCTAGCGCATGTTTACATAGGATAACTAATTAAAAAGCAGCGGAGCTTTGTAAACAGCTCAGACTCATCATGTCATCTCCATAAAACGATATGATTGCCAGAACAAATTTAGCTGTATTTTTGAAAAGGTCCTGTTCACACATGATCTATTAATGGTAACTTACCGGTAATTTACCAGTACTGTATGTGTGAAAGGGGCTAAATTCTTCTTCTGCATATGCCGTTAATTTGAATTGCTTAACGTTCATCTGGAAAAACAGTGTGCATTATCTCACTAGATTTGTAATGTAAATCATTTATAAACTTTTGCCAACACAGGAGAATACATCAACCTATGTCTAAATATGCCATGTATTGTACATCGCAATTTCAAAATTAAAGTTTCTGCATGTGGCCAAATATTAAAATTTAATGGATTTAAACATCGTTTAATCACGCTGTAAAGTGAAGCGTCACCAGGCCGTTGGCGCCCTCTGCAGGTATTTGTTTTAATACATAATTGTACTTAAGTTGGTTATGTTCATGTTATGTATACGCATATTACATAATGTATTTTAACAGTGTTGTTCAATTCAATCATGTAATTTCTTGGTTTTTATATTTTATTTGAGCCAATTATTATTGCCTCATCGTTATTTTATATATAAATAGTCATACTAAAGCCTGGTTTTCACTTAGGTCTGTTTGTTACAAAAAAATATCAGATTAGTCGGTTGTCAAAATAATCAGTAGATTACTTGATTACCAAAATAATCATTAGTTACAGCCCTAGATTAGTTAAAATATTTCTAAATACAACTTCATTGTTTCACTTTTTGTAATTAAAAGACAAATATTTTCAGTAAAAATTTCTTAAATGGTATTAAAATATTGTCTCGTTCTAGTGAACCAAGTATCTGTATTTTGTCTCATCTCGTGAGCTAAGTGTATTGTCACACCCCTAGGATCGATAAGCGGTGATATAGCTCATAATATTTCAAGTGTATGGTACAGCTTTTATTCTTCAGATCAACCATATATTCATGGGGGAAAAAACTGTTTAAATAAAGAAAGCAATAACTTTGCCATAGTATCCTTTCAAATATTAAAGTTGCCGATTTTTTTCACTGAAATATATGTTTTTGTAATTACACAGAGTAAAGTACCAAAAAAAGTTACCATTGGGCACCGGTACCGTACCGGTTAAAATGTGAATGGTACCCAACCCTAGTTGTGATATAGTGTAATGTGATAAAATTTCAAAGAGCTGATTCATTTAAATGTAAACGCTGCATGTTTTAAAGTAAAAATGTGGCGATGTTGCGTGTTCAGAACAGGTTGCAATCAATGAATACTTGAATTCCTTGAAAATGCTTGAATTTTAATGTAGTGTTTTCAAGGTTTGAAAAATGCTTGGATTTTGAATGAAGTGCTTGAAAATGCAGTTGCATTGGTTTCATAATAATTCGCTTTCTTACTGAATAGTTCATCATTTTTTACATAAAATAAGCCTAGCAGCTCTGCTCGACTCTGCGCGTGTGGCTGTAGTGTGATCTTTATTAACGCGTGCCTCTGATGGAAGAGGGTGAGATAAAATCATGCCGGGAGGTAGGGATGTAACGATTACCGGTTTGACGATAAATCATGATAAAATTCCCCATGGTTAGTAATACCATTTCATCTTTTAATTATCATTAAAACTGTATTAGATTACCGCGATTTGAACAATCATTTTGACACATATCTTTTCTTTTATTTAAAGGCTGAAATGTGAGGTTTACTTTTTTATTAAGCTTTCAAAGAAAATAGAAATAGAAATTTCAAAGCTTTATTTGAACATCTACATTAGATATTTCAACATGCTATTAAACTGTTGTCAGTCAAGTTGTCATTTAAAATCCGAACATCATTGGTAATGTTAATGTAATGTGATTATGCAAACAAAAAGTAATTTCATTTGTTGTTTGTTGATTTTTAAATATAAAACTTGAAGTGATTTATGTGTCGGTACTTTTTTTAACATCTCCAGCACATTTTAACAATACCGTGATAATACTGATAACTGTGATAATTTTGGTCACTATAATCGTGATAAGAAATTTTCATAACGTTACATCCCTACCGGGAGGTTGCCGCTTCAGTCAGCGATGGCTTGAAAATGACAAATACAAATTATGCCTAAAACGAGAACTAAATACTTGAGTAGCCTCCCGTTAAATCTGTTTTTTTCATAGAGTCTGCACTTTCGAGCCATATAAAAGTTAAACAAAAATGCCCCTGCAATGTGAAAATGAATGAAAAGTGTTTATTGCGGCATACGTTTAGATCTGCTCACAATGCATAAGATTTCTTTATGCACATTTTTTCCCCCCCAGCATTGAGCATTATAACAAATCACACACATTTGTGTTGAGCGCAGATTAGTCACCAGTGAGGAAAAATCCGCAAAATGCTACAGTTGTGTTCAGTTCATGCGCTCACTGAATGCATTCTGCACTCTCTCGAATACTGTTATCATAAACAACAGTGCAGAAACGATGTAAACAAGAAATTAATTTTGCGGTTTGGACAGCAAGATTCAGTGAGCTCATGCTAGACTGAAATCATCCTTTTCTGTGATGGGTCCGAACGTTTATTGCTCGTTTTCTGTATGTTTTAATCCCAAAATGAATAACAATTTAGTTTTTCATGCTACTAAAATAACCAATGTGAAGAATGAATATGTGTCGTTTCCCCCACACAAAAACGTAATCGACATTAATCGTCACGGACCTTTATCGCAGCGGAATTGATTACCGGAAGTGCCCATCGAAGTAGTGTATCGATTCTTCCGGTAATTACCTAGTTGAATAAAAGCCTGTTAAAATGAGAATCTGCAGGATGATTTCAAAATCCAGACATATTTTAGAAGGACCTTAATTCATCCCACCGCATCTCATCCGTGTTGTGTCAGGAAATCGTGAAAACCGAGGCAGTGGGTCATTGTTTAGAATAAAAAGCAGCCAGGTATGCTGCAGTAACACCGGCGAAAGAGAGGATTCTCCCATTAGTTTTGACTGCGTTGCGACGGGACCGGAAGTGGTGATACACTGCTTCACTTACCGGATATAGGAAGTGCGATAAAGGTCCATTGTCACTTCAAATTTAAGGACATAAAAAGACTTAAATGCCTTAAAAGGTATAAAAAAATACTTAAAGGGGTCATATGATGCGATTTTCAATTTTTCCTCTCTCTTTGGAGTGTTACAAGCTCTTGGTGCATAAAGAAGATCTGTAAAGTTGCAAAGACTAAAGTCTCAAATCCAAAGAGATATTCTTTATAAAAGTTAAGAGTTAACCACACCTACCTAAAACAGCTCGTTCTAACATGCCCCCACATGTCTACCTCACTATGTGGGAAGATTTGCATAACGCCGCCCAAATGTTCATGCAAAAAAAGAAGGCGTAACTTTTATTCTCGCTCCAGTATTGTTGCTGCCGCCATGTCGTGAAGACGCTGTGTGCTGCGTTGTGAAAGCGAAACTACTTTATTTGGTCTTCCAATAAAGGACGATATCCGCTTCGTCATGCCTAGAGCTGATCTGTGCTGGTCGCTGAGGAAATACATCAACTTAGTGCTGCTCAGCTCACGCTCGCCCGCCGCCTCAGCTGATCTGTAAGTACGTTTTCATTTAAAGGATTTGCCACTGATGATTCAAACACGAATTTTGAGCAGTGTAGAGTAACGTTAGTGCTTGTTTGTCATTTCTGATCACAAATGCAGACATGGTTTTGTTTACACGGCGCGATGCAACGCAACACGTAAAAAGACAGTATAAGTCATTAATCTGTAATTATGTCCCCACTGTTTTAATGTTTTTTGTGTCGTCGCATCGGCCGGGACACGGCATCACAGTATGTGAGGGGCGTAACATTTCCGTCTCACGCTTGAGGTATTCGGCCAATCACAACGCACTGGATAGCTGGCCAATCACAGCACACCTCGCTTTTTCAGACCGATGAGCTTTGTAAAAATCGACTCGTTTCAAAAAGGCGGGGCATAGAGGAGAAACAATAATGTACAGTATGTGAAAAATAATGTGTTTTTGAACCTTAAACCGCATAAACACATTTCATTACACCAAATACACAAAATAATGTTCTTTTTAGCAGCATCATATGACCCCTTTAATTATAATTTCAAGATGTCTTAAAATTTGAGTATGGAAAGACAAGAATCATGATATGGCTTAATGTGATGATTAAATTTCATATAAGGGTATGATTTCACTGAATAAATAAACAAAATGATGTCAAAACGCGGCACGGGTGTTTTGATATGAAAATATCTCTGAAGGAAACCACCTGCCCTCAGAAAAGTTTTGATGGCAGTTTCGTTTCATCTTGCCTGTGTATAATGTAGCGTTAATTAGTGCAGTGCTGCTTTATGTACAGTCGTTATCAGGGAAACAGTAGTTGTACTGTTCCAAATGCGCCACCTGCTGGCAATTTGCTATTCTTGTTTAGAATAATGCGAACTTGCTAATGTGCCTTGAAAAATCCAAACGATTAACAAAGGGGTGTGTGTGTGTGTGTGAGTTTTAAATTAAGATAATAACTTATAGCTACTTTTGACATCCCTTTTTTTTTTAATAGTTTAAATGCTGAAATGTGAGGTTTATTACTATATTAAACTTTATTTATTTGTGAAAAACCTGTTTTTGAACCGCAAATCATGTTTTTTTGTTTTTTTTAACAGTCATTTTATGGTACCAGTCATAAATATATTACCATATACATGGCCCTATCCCGTTCATACAGTATTCATTTTATTTGTGCAGGGCTTAAAAATACTGCAGACACCCTGTAAATTCTTTAATTTTGTACATTTCATAATTTATATACTGTATGTTGGCTATCTATTTTAGGCAATGTTATATGCAGTCCAGACCGGTGGTTTTTAATAGCACAATAACATCTTAAAGTGAAGAACTCAAGTCTGAATGTAAACATGTAATTTATCACAGTTTAAAGTGCTGGAAAATCTAGAAAGTGCTTGAAAAGTGTTTGAATTTTACTTTGGAAAAGGTGTAAGAACCCTGACACCTGGAGTGGTAATGTATAGACGTTTTAATATAAGATCTATCTAAGATTATTGCCTTGTTTACAAGTGAAAGTTGCGTGTTATATTACGTATGGTGTTTGTTTTCTTTATGGGTGCTTTGGTTACACACACTGTTTTATTGTAGTATATAATAATATAATTATACTACCATATAGTATGATTATAATGTGTGTGTATGATCATACATCAGTTTGGGGATCAAATCTCACTATTAACTGCAACTTTATTTTCTTTTATTTATATAAAAATCCTGATTACTGCTTATTAGTAGTTAGTAATGTAGTTGATAAGTTTAGGTATGGGGTAGGATTAAGAGATCTAAAATATGGTCATACGAAATAAGCCATTAATATGTGCCAGTATGCTAGTACTACGCATGCTAATAAGCAACTAGTTAATATTGAGAGTATACAGTCCCCTCCACAAGTATTGGGACAGTAAGGACAAAATTGCTCTGTTTGCTGTGGAGTCAAGAAATCTAAATATGATTAAAAGATGAATATGAGATGACTACAGAAATGTGTTATTGGGTGATTCAACACACAGATATTTTGCCATTTAAGAGGATCAGCACTTTTAGAGTTTCATCCCCCTGTCTGATGTGAGTATATGTATTGGGACAGTTGGCTCACAGGTCTTTCTGAGTGATCAGCTGTGTCCTGTTGCATTAATTGTTCAGATGTTAAAAGCAGAAAAAGTGTCATATCAGTTATATCCATTGATTCTGCATTCTGAGTCTTGCATTTGATGACAACACGCACAAACCAGGATGAAGATGAGGGAGCTGACTTTGAGAGAGAAAAAGAACCCTAAAATAAGTGTATGTAAAATCACCAACAACCTCCAGAAAGCTGGGGTGATGGTTTTACAATCTAATGTCCGCAGGAGACTGACACAGAATTACAGAGTCTACACAGCAAGATGCAAACCTCTGATCAGCATCAAAAATAGAAAGGCAAAATTAGAGTTTGAAAAAAGCACAAAGGTGAGCCAGTAGAGTTTTGGAACAGAGTTTTATGGGCAGATGAGACAAAGATTAACTTTATCTGTGTGATGGGAAAGCAAAAGTGTGGAGAGAAAAAAAAAAAGGCTGGGAAAAGCTTTTCAAAGGATGAGACCAAGAGTCTGGTGATGTCTGTGGGTTGCAGACTCACTGTTGTGTTTGCAATCAAGGGATTTGTAACTAAATATTAGCTTTCAAACGTCTATATTTGTTTTGTTCAATTGTCCCAAATACATATGCTCACATCAAATAGGGGGATCAAACACTTCAAGTGCTGTGCTTTTTATTTGGTTAAACATGTATGTGTTGAAATGGCTAATAATAAAATGTGACGTTCTGTAGTTTTGACTCATATTCATCAAATGTCTTGACTCCACAGCAAACTAAGCAATTTTGGCATTACTGTCCCAATACTTATGGAGGGCACTGTGTATATATACACACAGTTCAAAATAGGCCTATAAATAATTAATAAACTGATTACTGAAAATAAACGTAGTTTACTTTGTGTTTTAATAAATGTGAGAATTTTGCTTATAAATGTGTCCTTGTATACACTTCTAAGGAATTATTTGACACATTATTTGATCAATTTTAACCACGCCCCTAAACATTTTTTTTTTAATGCGTTCTTGAATTGTTCAACTTGGGAGCACATAGGCCTATTTTTTTGAAGAAAAAAGTTCTAATGCAACTCTGTTAGAACTGCGCAAGACAAGTAAACAAACTGAGTCGCAAGACTTCATGAATCTTCAGTGTGTGTTGTGTTATCAGTGCTACATTTTGAAGGTCAGTTCATACGGCTGAAATGACCATGGGCATCATGCTCAAAAGCTTAGATTTGCAGTGAGGTGAACGTTTTCTTTGAGAGAGTTCTTTTTTTTCTCTTTTTATCCACGTGCTGTAACTGAGTGATTTATGTAGTCATGTGAAATCTTTTGCTGGTTATTTAAATATGTACTTTGTTCTCAAAATACCCAGCTCTATTTCTGGATGCAAGTAGCCATCACACGTTGTCTGATTAGTGTCTGTTTCCTCCTGTAGTTCTGTTGCATCATCAGCACAGCTGCCGGAGTCGCAGCCACCGCTGGCTTTACAGAAATCTGTCTCCAATCTTCAGAAGCCCATGCCAATAACCAGCCAGGAGGTACAGATGGCACGTTCATCATCTCTTCATGGTGCTCACCTGATGTTAATGTCATGGTGTCTGATGTCTGCTGAATGTGTTTCTGTCTCTCTAGAGCACAAGTACAGGTGGACCAAAGCAATGGGCACAGCTCAATGGAAAGGCAGTAGATCAAGATGGTAATCATCCGTTTATTCTGATCAGAAGTGTTTGTTGTTATGTCATGTTTTATACTTGTTTGGCTCTGTTGTCCAGGTTTAAAGGTCTCAAGCCGACTGCAGCCCTTCTCTCACGAGGAATTTCCGACGCTGAAAGCAGCAGGCGAACAGGACAAGGCTGGCAAGGAAAGAAGCGTCTTCGATCCGTCGTATGGGCCCGGACCAAGCCTCCGCCCACAGAGTGAGTCCCACTCTGCATGATAAAACATTTAGATCGTTTCATTTCAGATATGTAACTGTAACGGTAGAAAAGAACAGCTCGTGTTCAAAACTGCATTTCTGCCTTAAAGGAACACTCCACTATTTTTGAAAATAGGCTTATTTTCC